TCTTCTCCTTATATTTCTACGGTGGTTGACTGCAGAGCCTAGTCGTCTGGCCAAGGGAAGGACATAGAATGGGAGAAGAGAACAAGGACAAGAAGTGGAAGGAGAAGAAGTGAAGCAAAAATATGATATTAGAGAGAAAGAGCGTGAGACATAGAATGAGAAAAAGAGAGAGATTAAGACAGAGAGACAGAGAGAGAGAGAGAGAGAAAGATAGAGAAAGTGAGACAAAGAAAGAGTAAGACAGAGATAGAGAGAGAGTAAGACAGAGATAGCGAGAGAGAGAGAGTAAGACTGAGATAGATCGAGAGAGAGTAAGACAGAGATAGAGAGAGAGTAAGACAGAGATAGGGAGAGAGTAAGACAGAGATAGCGAGAGAGAGAGAGAGTAAGACTGAGATAGATCGAGAGAGAGAATGACAGAGATAGAGTGCAAGACTGAGATAGATCGAGAGAGAGAGAGTAAAACAGAGATAGAGAGAGAGTAAGACAGATAGAGAGAGTAAGACAGAGATAGCGAGAGGAAGAGAGAGTAAGACAGAGATAGAGAGAGTAAGACAGAGAGAGAGAGAGAGACAGAGACTACGATAGAGAGAGAGACCTGATGCATCGCATATTTTATCATGCTCATCAATAATTGCCGCAATGAGATCAAAATACATATGTTATGGGAATATAAAAACGAAATTATATTAATGAGATTTGATTAGTGCTTCTCTACATCATGTATTGAATACATTCATACATACACATGCATTAGAATCGAATATATAATTCCTATAACTTATCTATTCTTTATTAAAATAATCATTAAAGATTGAATTATGATAAATCTAAATACATGATAATGATGAATAATAATCAATATATGCTTTACATATTTGTAATATTGAACTTATGTAATTCACTTTGATTACATATTCCATGAGGTTTTTCGCCAATGAACCTAGCCAGGTCAGGCAGCTGCTGTGCATCGATTCAAGTCGATGGCGAGCTGATGTGCTTGCGGTTGGCTAGAGAGCGTTTGGACCAAGGCTTGCTGGCAACATGGCCCTCAGGAGGGGCAATTGGGCAGCAGCTGGGGGCGAGCTACTAATTGCACTTTGGCCTTAATGCCAATGCAAGGCGATTCGCGTTGCGCTCAACGCGGCGCATGCGCAATCGTCTAACGGCTGGAGACATACGCAGCATATGCTAAGCAGCGGCCAACGCCCAATAATGGATATTGATGACAGGCAGATGTAAGTGGTGTAATGACCACAGCAACAGCAACAACAACAACAGCAACAACAATATAAACTACCCAAAAAAAAAGGTGCAACAAGTTGTAAGCCAAAAGACAGCAGCAGCCGTTGCTTACGTAATGAGAAAGGTGCAGACTTAATGCTGCGACGACGGCGACGACGGCGACGACGGCTGAGGTTGCGGATGCAACGCAAACAAGTCGCTGGCAGATGCTGCTGCTGCTGCAGATGCGGCAGCAACTGTTTGTTGTCTGTTATGACGAGAGCAAGGGGGCGGCGCAGGAGGCGGGAGGCTGGGGCTGGATTTTGTGCCCGAGTCTGAGTGTGACTCTGCGTCTCACTTTCGCCTAATGGCAATGATGCGGCAGCATTTGGCCCATATTGCCAGAGACACACTCACACACACTCACACACACACACTCGTACACATCATGACAACGGCGGGAAAAAATCGCAACACACAAACCCTTGCAGCCGCAGCAGCGAATGGTTTTTGGAAAAGCGTTTTTCCGGTTAATGTGCCGCCAGTCAATGCTGCCTGGCATTTGGTTAGTCGCTATAAAAGTGTGGGCCGCCAGCTGTGGTCATGTCAGTGTCGATTCGTGGCGCAGTCAAAGCAGCCAGCGCAGGACTAACAGAGTTTAGCCAACTGAAAATCTATTGCAATAATCGTACAAGTGCAGCCATGAAAGTACGTACGGTGCCTTTTGCGTTGCGCATACGCAATGTGGAACAATAAACAATAATTACGCATACGCCGCGTGCAACAGTCGAAGAATTCCATTTTGTTATTCTTTTTGTTTTTTTTTTCTTTGTGTTTTGTGACATTTGTCTTGACGCGATATCCTTGTTGCTTGCTTTCAATATATCTACACACAGAGTACAGTTTCAGAGCGACTGTGCGCAGCTGCTCAGACAGGCGAACAGTTTGAGGGTCACAGTAAAGATATTCACACAGAAATCTACAGTTTGAGCGCCACAGGCACAACAGCTAAAGTACAGTTTGACATTGACTATAGTAGCAGACAGTTTGACTGTACAGCTTACAGTTTTGAAGTCACTGGGAAGCAGATAGCAATAGGCAAAGTGACAGTTGAGTAGATACACGTATTTATTTTAGTCATACAGTTTGAGAGTCATCGTTGGCAGTAGCTCTTGCACAGTTTGACAGTTACTGTAGACTTTGACTTTAGGTCTGAGCTGAAAATGTAAAGTTTGAGAGCAATAGCAACGCTCTAAGAGAGTCTTGAGTCTAAGAGAGTCTACACACAGTTTTAGAGCCACTACACTTTGTTAGCACGCGAAATAGAGTGCATAGTTTAAGAGTCATTGATCAGTGCACAACTGTTTATGAGGCACTGTTAAAGAGTCGACAGTTATGTTATGCTGAACGAGTCACTGTTTGGGCCACTGTTAACAGTTCAAGTTACAGAAGCAAAAGCTACAGTTCAGATTACAGTTTGACAATCGCCAGCCGCAGTTTCGGAGTCATTGTTTGAGTGTGATTTCTTGATAGGTACAGCTTTAGCTCCTCAACGCAAGAGTCACAGTTTTCGAGTCACTAGCTGAGCATTACTTCCAGGGAATTACAGTTTTAGAGTTACAGACAGTTTGACAGGCTCTCGGCTAGGCTTATTCCGCAGCTGTTGAGCCACAATGCGACAGCATCAACTGAAAGAGTAGACTTACAGTCACAGTTGCAGAGTCACAGCGAGGCTGGACTAGTTTAACAGTTTGAGAGTCATTGGTTAGGTTATATTATTCAAGTCTCACGCTTACTCATACACTCACACACATTCATACACGCTCACAGTTGCAGAGTCATTGGATGTACACAGTCTAAGAGTCACTCTCTTCTTCTCTCTCTCTCTCTCTCTCTCTCTCTCCTGCAGGCCTTTGTGTGTCTCCTGCTGATCGGAGCAGCGAGCGTAACGGCCAAACCCAAGCCCGGAGGAGGCGGCTGGTCTTCGGGTGGCGGTGGCGGCGGCGGCGGTGGCGGTTGGTCATCGGGCGGTGGAGGCGGCTACGGTGGTGGTGGCGGTGGCGGACATGGCGGTGGTGGCGGCGGCGGTGGTGATGTCCAGGTCATCAAAGTCATCACAGAAAGCGGCGGCGGCGGTGGTGGCGGTGGCGGTGGCTGGTCTTCTGGCGGAGGCGGTGGAGGCGGCGGTTGGTCCTCTGGCGGCGGAGGCGGCGGTGGCTGGTCTTCGGGAGGAGGCGGTGGTGGCGGCGGCGGCGGGGGCGACATAAAGCTCATTAAGATCATCAGCCTGGGCAGCGCTGGCGGCGGTGGTGGCGGCCATGGAGGCGGTGGCGGCGGCGGTGGCTGGTCCTCAGGCGGTGGTGGAGGCGGCGGCTGGTCTTCCGGTGGTGGCGGTGGAGGCGGCGGTGGTGCCACCAAGGTCATCAAAATCATTAAGCTGAGCAGCGGCGGCGGCGGTGGCGGTCATGGTGGTGGCGGTGGCGGCGGCGGCGGTGGCTGGTCCTCGGGTGGTGGCGGTGGTGGCGGCGGCGGCGGCTGGCAGCCAGCCGGCGGCTGGGCCTAAGGCTCCCCAGGCACAGCCCCCAACCACAGCAACCTGTATATACTGTACATAACTGAGAAATTGTTTGTAATTTCCTTATTTTTTTTTTAAACTTTTTTTTATATACGAATTTCCTATGTAACAGAAGAAAGAGAAGAAATTGTGTTGTATTATGTAAAAAGATTGCAAAGTCGCAACTTGGCCAAAAGACTACCGAATATTTCACGAATAACCAATAAATGTAAACACTATCAACTGTTAACTAAGGGCCCGAGGGCCTCTGTCTTCCATGCTGCATAGATCTATAAATCTCTGGATTGCCACACAACTGAAGGATCTTTGTCTCACGGTGATATAATGACAGCAAAAGTCTTTTCTTGCATGCCTTTTGTCACGCAGAGAGAGAGAGAGAGGGAGAGAAGGAGAGCTGGAGAGGAAGACTCTAAGCTGATTTATTAGAGTGAGAAAGAGAGGGAGAAATAGAGATAGAGAGCTCTTTTATTGATGGCCATTGTCCAAGTGATTTATGAAAATTGTGCTAAATGACAAGAGCTTGCGAATATACGAATATGGAATACCCTGTAAATTGAAGTGAGACCAAATGGATTCGTGATTAAAAAATGTGAAAGGGAGAGAAAGAAAGAGAGAGAGAGCGGGAGAGAGAAAGAGAAAGGGAGAGAGAGAAAAGAGAGGGGTAAAGAGGGAGAGAGAAAGATACAGAGAGAGAAAGATACAGGGAGAGAAAGATACAGAGAGAGAGAGAGAAAGAGAGATACAGAATGAAAGATAAAGCAAGATCTAGAATGAGAGATTGCGAGAGTGAGGGAGACAGACTCCTGGTGTATGAAACACAGTATACGAATGTGAAACACCCTGTGAATAGAACCAATGGCTCAATGTATGCCAAATGGCAAGAACACTCTCTAATGCCAAGATAGATCCATTTACAAATTTGATTTGAAGCTTTTTTGAGTCAGAGCACAATCATGGTAATCTTTTTGAACTATCTTCTGCTCATGTTCACTGCACACAATATATTTTAGGCGAGCTCTGAACCAAATATCTTGGGCAAATATCGAAACTGCTTCAAGTTCTATACCAAATACAACATTAAATTACATAAATATACCTATTTTAAATTGGGTATTCCATTTCGACTTTAATCTATATAAATATCTATGGATATAAGGGTCATTCTTGATTTTCAACCGATTGCAGGGTATCTGTGGAGTCGAGTCGCCCGTATTGTTGGGCTGGCCCTGGCTAGCCATTGTTGTAAATTGCTCAATTTGTTAATAACAAATAAATAGTTAATAAATGGCAATTAGTAAATGGCAAAACGTTGCGAACATCAGCAAAAAAATAAGATTTAATGCAAATCAAAAACGCGCGCGTGCTTAGTTTTTGATGCGTTTTTAGCCGCAAGCGTTTCGACTAGGCCACACACACAGATGTCAAAGACAAGTAGAAGAAGAAGAAGTCGAAGAAGATTTTCCAGACTCGTTGCGCAGCTGTGGGTGAAAGGCAACAGTAGTTCGCTGTGAAGGACACTCGCTGACTGACTGACTGACTGATTGACTGACTGAGCGAGCGACCGATTGACCGATTGACCGATTGATTGATGTAATTGGGGTTAATCAAGCTGGCAGCACAATTTGCATGCTAATTATGAAGAGCCACAAGATGTGGGGATGGGGGAGGCGGAATGATGCCAATGCGTTTGCCGCGCATTAAAAAACCATTAAAGATCAGCTCATTGGACGGACGGTTGCGCTCCACTTTATAGCTCCCCTCCTCACCCCACTCAATCTGGGGTGCATGTGTGTGTGTGTGCGTGTGTGTGTGACTGTTGCCACATCCATTCAGATTTGCATGTGAAGCATGCATAATAAATGCCACCAATCAATGAATCTCCACTTCCAAGCCCCAACAAATATTACATGAAATATAAACACGCCCCAAAACAAACAAAAAATACGCGTCGATGCCGCCGCCGCTTTGGCTGCCAATGCTTTATGTATCAATTAGATGGAAGCCGATAAAAAGAGACACACAAAAAACCGGAACAGCGAGGGAGACGGAGGGAGAGAGAGAGAGAGAGAGAGAGAGAGAGAGAGAGAGAGAGAGAGAGAGAGAGAGTGAGAGATCGAGGGGAAGGGCAGCCAGCAAGGTGTGCAAGCCAACAAAAAAAAGACCACCTGATTGTCAGCTTATGCGTCGAACGAGGGATGCTCGTAACGAAGCTCAGTTGAAATATTTATGAATGTAACTGATGTCAATTCCAAAATAAAAGAAAAGTATTAAAAACATAAACTGCTTTTAGTTTAACTCCTGAGAAACTTACCAATCAGTCAGTCAAACAGTTAGGCAATCAAAAAATGAGATATTTAGTGAATTGGTCAGTCGAGCAGTCAGTCAATCAATCAGCCACTGAATCACTCAATCAATCAGCTAGTAAAACAGTCGCTCAGTCATTCAGTCAGATATTCAGTCAGTCAATCAAAGAGTGAAAAATAGAGTGAATCAGTCAGTCGAACAGTCTGTCCGTCAATCGGCCAGTAAAACAGTTAGTCAATCAACTATTATTCCGTTGGCATATAGTTAATAGTCTATCTTTTTTAATCCATCAATTAATCAAACTTATACAATCAGGCAATGAGTCAGACAGTCAATCAACCAGTGAATCACATCATCAATCACACAATCAGCTAATAAAAGTTTATCTTTCTGTCAACATCCAGTGAAACATCTGTCAATCAATCAAATCTATAATTTAGACAATCAATCAAGCAGACAATAAATCAACTTAGTCAATCAGTAATCAGTTAGTCAATCATTAAGTGAATCACATTATCAATCGGCATGTAAAAATTAATCAATCTGTTAGCATGTAGCTGATAATCTGTCGATCAATCAATCGAAACGCAACAATCAATCAGACAATAAATCAACATAGTCAATCAATCAGTCAATCAATGAGTGAATCACATAATCAATCGCCCAATCAGCCAGTAAAAGACAATCAATCTATTAACATCTAGTTAATCATCTGTCAATCAATCAAATCTATAATATAGATAATTAATCAGTAAGGCAGTAGATCCACATGTTCAATCAGTAATCAGTCAGTCAATCAACCAATGAATCAGATATCAATCAGCACATGATAGTCAATCAATCTGTTAACATTTAGTTGATCATTGTCAATCAATCATTCAATCTTTTGGTTGAATCATCAATCAACCAGACAATAAATCAACATAGTCAATCAGTCAGTCAATCAGTAAGTGAATCACATAATCAATCGCTTAATCAATCAATGAAAGTCAATCAATCTATTAACATCTAGTTGAGCATTGTCCATCAATCAAATCTATAATTTAGATAATCAATCAGTAAGAAAGTAAAACAACAGTCAATCAGTCAGTCAATCAATAAGTGAATCACATAATCAATCACTCAATCAATGTTAACATTTAGTTGATCATTGTCAATCAATCAATCGAATTTATAACTCATACGATCAATCAGTCAGTCACTCAGTCAATCAGTTCGTAATTGTCCCATCAAGCTGTCAATTAATCAATCAAGAATTTCAGTTACTCAATCAATCCATTAGTCAGTCAAGGTGATCTCTTGGCAAATCGAGAGATTACCCCTCGTTGGAAATTTTATGTTTTCCCTTTCCTTCTGCTTTGTATGTTATTATTATTGTATTTACATATTTATTTTGTTTGCTTTGCTTTGTCTTTGTTTTTGTTGGCTTTATTTGTTGTTTTGTTTTTAGTTATTGTGTTCATCGCGAAAGACTATGGAATGTGTTTTTGTTTTTTGTTGGCTGAAGCAAGTCTTGGCGATTGTTTTAAGCGTGTTGCCGTTGCTACCTCATTGTTGGATCTGGGATCGGGTTGTAATACCCGAAGATACAATAGCTACCACACGGCTATGTCGGATGGCATTAACACCGAAGGCACTTAGATATTGATAAATAGCCCAGCATACGCAAATCGACGGGGGGGTCAGGTCGGTTCGGCAGCTCTCTGAGCGTATTAGTAATCCATATTTGTAATGATTGAAAAAGAGTTGAAATTAATTTATTGACTGCGATCTGAGGCCGCGTTTTCTATAGAATGCCGTCAATGCAGTTGGCCAATACACACAATGCCACTGCCAATAAAAAGATCAACAACAGTCGTCAAGCGATAGATAAACAAATAATTTGTTTAACACATTTCTGGCCATAAGGAGCCGTGGGCCAAGGTTAATCGTTGGGAAAGTGACGCACACCGGAATGGGGCCAAACTGAAAGAAGAAGACATCCATCCCATATGCTTGGCCGGAAAATTATTTGGATGTCTGGCCCATTGATTGACATTGAAGACGCATTCGGAAATGAAAAGTGAAAGTGGCCAAAATATAAAATAAAATAAAATTGATACCATAATGAGTGTGTGAATCTATTTTTGTATCTTTCCATTTCCATGTAAAGTCCCCTTCCGCATCGTGATCTCTTTTCAATATTCACACAGCATACAGCCCTCAAAGCGCACACGAGATGAATGAAATTTGATCTGGTTTCCAAGCGAACAACCAGCTCAAATTAGTTAGTTAGTCAAGCATTGACGTATCTGACTGGCAAATAATTGCAAGCTCATCGGGGCATGGCATGGCATGGCATATACTGGACACACCTTTGAGTGACTGAATGAATGATGGCCATATTGACGATCGATTTGACACTGAGTTAACTTTTAGTGTATTTTATCACAAATGCTGCTCTGGAACCAGCTCGAATTGAATTCAGCTCGGGTTAAATGCAAATCGTTTGGAAATCAACTATATACACATATGTGTATATATGTATTACTATTGTATATATATATGTAAGTAAGACTACCCAAAGTTGCTAAAGTATCCAGTGAGCGATTCTAGGGCTGAACCCAACTAGTCGAGCCTACATGACTCAGTTCATATTCTGACGAGACTAGTTAAGATCTATGGGAGCTACATTATTCAGTTCTTTATAAACAACTCAATTTGACTCTAGTACTCCAGTGAGAAATGCCTTTACTTTTATATTATATCCATATATATACATATTATGGATGATTAATCATATAGTATATCATATATCTTAGATTAGGATTGAGATTGAGATTGAAATGCATCGCTTTGTGGTGATTGAAAAATTCCATTTCTTTCCAATCCATATACATGTAATAATCTGGTTAGTGATATAATGTAACGTATGCACATTACCATAATTTCCCATGGCGCGTAATTGAAGCACAGTGCAGAAGTGTTTTAGGTATATTTTCTATACTCAATCGTTTTACTTTTGGGGTGGCCAGTTATATTTCTCTTTGTGCTCAG